AGAGGTCTAACCTGGTCCGTGAGAGAGGTCTGAAGAGGTCTAACCTGGTCTGTGAGAGAGGTCTGAAGAGGTCTAACCTGGTCTGTGAGAGAGGTCTGAAGAGGTCTAACCTGGTCTGTGAGAGAGGTCTGAAGAGGTCTAACCTGGTCCGTGAGAGAGGTCTAACCTGGTCTGTAGCAGAAGATAATTAGCTTGAGGTCAAAAGATACTTGCCAGCACCACGTTACTCCCCTGTCTCAGTGTTGGGTCAGCTTCTATGGTGCAAGTTTTCCCCTGAGTGTCATGGCCACATCCAGTCAGAGTGGCTTCTGGGTATTGACAGCTGCAGAGGTGGCTTTCTCCTTGTGCACCAACCAGGACAACCTGATTCCGTATCTTAGCCGCATACGTCTGGGCAGTCCTCTTGGTTCTCCATGTCTGCTGCTTGCCCTGACCCCTGGCTTGCTCTTGGTTCTCCATGTCTGCTGCTTGCCCTGACCTCTGACTTGCTCTTGGTTCTCCATGTCTTCTGCTTGCCCTGACCTCTGGCTTGTTTCTGGTTCTCCATGTCTGCCACTTGCCCTGACCTCTGACTTGTTCTTGGTTACCCATATCTGCTGCTTGCCCTGACCTCTGGCTTGTTCTAGGTTCTCCATGTCTGCCGCTTGCCCTGACCTCTGGCTTGTTCTAGGTTCTCCATGTCTGCCGCTTGCCACGACCTCCGACTTGTTTCTGGTTATGAGTCTGCTGCTTGCCCTGACCTTTGGCTTGTATTCTAGCTCTCCGTGTCCTCAGTCAATCCTGACCTCTGAACTGTTACCAACTGACCTATAGCGCTCCTCAGTTATCTGCAGCTCCCATCTGCCTCTGACTTAGTTCCTCTGTCTTCCCGACTTGTGGTCTGTGGTGGGGTGAACCAGGAATCAACATGTACCTAAGTCCCAAACCCTTCTAAGGGGGTCCATGGTGAGTACCGGCTGGTTCTGACCCCTGGCGGATCCTGCCTCACCTGGGATCATCCAAGTCCATTTGTGAGTCCTGATCCAGTTCCCACGTCTTATTCCTTCCAATGAGATCCTGATCCAGTCCCCACGTCTCGTTCGTTGCAATTAGATCCTGATCCAGTTCCCACGTCTTGTTTGTTCCAATGAGATCCTGATCCTGTCCCCACGTCTTGTTTGTTCCAGTGAGATCCTGATCCAGTCCCCACGTCTCATTCATTCAAATGAGATCCTGATCCAGTCCCCACGTCTCATTCATTCCAATGAGATCCTGATCCAGTCCCCACGTCTCATTCATTCCAATGAGATCCTGATCCAGTCCCCACGTCTCATTCATTCCAATGAGATCCTGATCCAGTCCCCACGTCTCATTCATTCCAATGAGATCCTGATCCAGTCCCCACGTCTCATTCATTCCAATGAGATCCTGATCCAGTCCCCACGTCTCATTCATTCCAATGAGATCCTGATCCAGTCCCCACGTCTCATTCATTCCAATGAGATCCTGATCCAGTCCCCACGTCTCATTCATTCCAATGAGATCCTGATCCAGTCCCCACGTCTCATTCATTCCAATGAGATCCTGATCCAGTCCCCACGTCTCATTCATTCCAATGAGATCCTGATCCAGTCCCCACGTCTCATTCATTCCAATGAGATCCTGATTCAGTCCCCACGTCTCATTCATTCCAATGAGATCCTGATCCAGTCCCCACGTCTCATTCATTCCAATGAGATCCTGATCCAGTCCCCACGTCTCATTCATTCCAATGAGATCCTGATCCAGTCCCCACGTCTCATTCATTCCAATGAGATCCTGATCCAGTCCCCACGTCTCATTCATTCCAATGAGATCCTGATCCAGTCCCCACGTCTCATTCATTCCAATGAGATCCTGATCCAGTCCCCACGTCTCATTCATTCCAATGAGATCCTGATCCAGTCCCCACGTCTCATTCATTCCAATGAGATCCTGATCCAGTCCCCACGTCTCATTCATTCCAATGAGATCCTGATTCAGTCCCCACGTCTCATTCATTCCAATGAGATCCTGATCCAGTCCCCACATCTCTTTCATTCCAATGAGATCCTGATCCAGTCCCCACGTCTCATTCATTCCAATGAGATCCTGATCCAGTCCCCACGTCTCATTCATTCCAATGAGATCCTGATTCAGTCCCCACGTCTCATTCATTCCAATGAGATCCTGATCCAGTCCCCACATCTCTTTCATTCCAATGAGATCCTGATCCAGTTCCCACGTCTTGTTTGTTCCAATGAGATCCTGATCCAGTTCCCACGTCTCGTTCGTTCCAATGAGATCCTGATCCAGTCCCCACGTCTTACCTCTTCCTGTGTGATCCATTGTAGTTTGTACTCCGAGTGTTGGCCTACACTTCCTGGCTTTTCTTGGCCATCACGGTGTATCTGGAGGGTCCGCTTTGGCGCACTCGGCAACCTGACTATACGGCTGAGCGGAGGGATATTTATGGACCCACCAATTTCTCGGCACATTAATAGTCCCGCCCACTATTTGAGGACTGTCTGCCACTCAATAATCACAATATTATTCACATACTTTATTATTATTATGCGCAGTGCTTTATATCATACAATTCAAGACAACAGGGATAGGAGGGCCCTGATCCTGGGAGCTTGCACTCTAAAAAGGGAGGAGCAAGTGATACCAAAGGTAATGACTGTGAAGGGGGTGATCTGATGGAGACAGTTCAGGTCTTAGGTGGAATAGACTTCAGGGATCACCTGAAGGCCGACCGAGCAGGCGATAGCCGGGGAGATTGGGGAGTTCCATAGGATGCGAGAGGCTCTGGAGAAGTCCTCTGGGGAGTCAAGCATGGGAGGAGGAGGAGCTTGGCAGCAGCACTCACGATGGACTGTGTAGAGGTCGGGAGTTGCAGTAGTCATAGCGAGAGATAACAAGGGAGTGGATGAGTGTCTGGGTGGTGATTGGTTATGAAGAGGCCATAGTCTGAAAATGTCGCAGAAGTGAAGGTGGCAAGACCTGGACGGTGATTGGATGTGAGGTCTGAAGGATGGGTCAGAGGGGAGGGACTGATAGTTGTACTATTGATCTTGATGGAAAAGGAAAATTGATCTCAATGGAAAAGTCAGGGAAGGGGGGGGGGGTTTGCGGCGAGGAACACAAGGTCAAGGGTGTTGCTGTGAGAGTCAGTAGGAGTGTGAGGTCCATTGTGTTGGGTCAAAAGAGGAGGTTGCGTTGAGAAGTCAAGAGGTGGCCGGGGGCATTCACGGGGATGTCAAAGTCACCACGAATGATGACAGAAAGTTGGGTAGCCAGGAAGAGAGGTCATGAAGGATACCGGTCCAGGAGGCCTATAAATCCCACCACTCCTCAGAGAAACGAGGGATACACGGAGCTTCACAAGAGGAGATGGATGAAGGAAAGTGCTTCATGGAGATAGAAAGATTCCGACTCCACCTCCCTTTTCCAACGAGTGCCTCTTCTGACCAACCTCCTTTGTTCTTTTTGGGGGCCAAAGTCTTCCACCTTATTGCCTACCGGGATCCAAATACAAGATCACCCAGAATCCCCGACTAGCAACCAGGAGCTCCCGTATCTTCATGGAGACAAACACTCCATGAGCTCTAAAACCGGTCTCCTGATCCCTGACAGGGTTTCTGGTCACCTCAAGGATGGGAGGTGGATCTCTCCCGTGGCATTTGTTCCCGTCTCATGATTCTCTGAAGGTTCTACACTGCAGGAAGGTCTCAACAACCATTGACAAGCCGTCCCTCCCACACCAGCAAATGATGCCAGAAAGAACTTTGTGATGTCTTTGGTGTGATCTGATTTTCTTTAGAAGCATTTCTTGAGATCAGACACGTGCCCAGCCATACTCATATCAAGATGTGCTTCTTCCCAGTGCGAGATCTCTGAGGCAAGATAGGATTTCTATAGAAGACATTTCCCACACATGAGACACTAATATGCCGAAAGGGTTGTGTGGGTTCTCTGATGTCTGGAAAGACAGGACTTCTGTGCAAAGCCTTTCCCACACTCAGGGCAGGTAAACGGCTTCTCCCCGGTGTGGCATCGCTGATGCCGGACAAGTTCCGATTTCCACAGAAACCATTTTCCACACTCCGCACAGGTGTGCGGATTCTCTCCCGTGTGAGATCTCCGATGTGTGACAAGTTCTGATTTCCGTGGATAACTTTTCCCGCACTCAGAGCAGGAATAGGGCTTTTCACACCTGTGAGATCTTTGATGTTTGGATAGCTGTGATCTCCACGAATAGCATTTCTCGCACTCAGGACAAGCATATGGTTTCTCCCCTGTGTGAGACCTCTGATGCATAGTGAGAGTAGATTTATATGCAAAGCCTTTCCCACACTCATAGCAGGCATATGGCTTCTCCCCTGAGTGGCATATCTGATGAACAGAAAGATGGGATTTCTGTGAAAAACATTTCCGGCACTCAGGACAGGAATACGGCTTCTCCCCCTGAATTCCGGCCCCATCCCCCACAGGACGAGGTTGCTCAGAGTCAGAGGGATTCCATGGTCTCTCCACACTGTGACGTCCACTATCCATAGCTGAGCTCATTGTCTCTTCTCCCGCACAATCTGCTGTGATGTCCTCATCTTCCATCTTACAACCTGGAGATAAAGTCAGACAATCCTTTGAGGGTTCCTCCATGGCGTGTCCTGGAAACATAGAGACACATGATGGAGAGATATGAGAGTGTTAGATGACTTCACTCAACATTCCATCTGGATCAGGAGGTCTGAGGGAGCGGATGTTCTATGAGGAGGTCCCAACCAGCCGGGACTCCTCCCCTCTTCAGTCAAAGGGCCTCCTCCCAGATCACTTCTACATTGACACAGCCTTGTCAGAAGAGGTGGAGCCAATGCAGACTGGGAGGAGCATGCTCTTCAACCAACCACAAGCCTAGGCACTGGGTCATGTGACCTCTGATCAACAAGAACTTCAAAGTTCAGACTTGAAGACCCTTCACCACAGAACAAGTGACCGTAGACCTAAGCTTCTGGTGATGAGCAGCACTGGAGGGGCTTGGAGAAGTATTTTCTCCAGGAAATATAACAGAAGAACATATAATGACCCACCTGTGCTGATCTCTGTAGGCGTGTCCTCCTCTATGGACGTCCTCATCATCCCGGCCTCCTCTATGGACGTCCTCATCATCCCGGCCTCCTCTATGGACGTCCTCGTCATCCCGGCCTCCTCCGTATATCGCTGATCATCCCTCACATACGTCTCTTCTACTTCTGATTTCACCTCAATTTTTATATCCGTCACATCCTCCCCCTAAACCAGGAAAATAAGAGAAAATATCTGTAATATAAAAGATTTAATGACGTGAGATCACCTAGAAGATATCTGATTCCATAATTGTCTCTATGAGCCACTTACATCTTCTAGAAGCTCCGCCCCACCTACCTGATCATGGTGGTGGATGGTGAGATCTTCCTGGGTGGGGTCCCGGGAATACAGGGGGCGGGGACATCTCTCTGGTGGGTTCCAGGGGCGGGGACATCTCTCATGGTGGGGGATGGTGAGATCTTCCTGGGTGGAGTCCCGGGAATACAGAGGGCGGAGACATCTCTCATGGTGGGGGACGGTGAGATCTCCCTGGGTGG